GTGTGTCTGGGTGTGTCTGGGTGTGTCTGGGTGTGTCTGGGTGTGTCTGGGTGTGTCTGGGTGTGTCTGCGTGTGTCTGCGTGTGTCTGGGTGTGTCTGCGTGTGTCGTGTGTCTGCGTGTGTCTGCGTGTGTCTGCGTGTGTCTGCGTGTGTCTGCGTGTGTCTGCGTGTGTCTGCGTGTGTCTGCGTGTGTCTGCGTGTGTCTGCGTGTGTCTGCGTGTGTCTGCGTGTGTCTGCGTGTGTCTGCGTGTGTCTGCGTTTGTCTGCGTGTGTCTGCGTGTGTCTGCGTGTGTCTGTGTGTGTCTGTGTGTCTGTGTGTATATGTTTATGTGTATGTGTATGTGTATGTGTATACATATATATATATATGTTTGTGTTTGTGTTTGTGTTTGTGTGTGTGTGTGTGTGTTTGTTGGGTGGTGTGTGTCTGTGTTTGTTGGGTGGTGTGTCGGTGGTTTCTACCCAACCAGAGCTATCGAAGCTACCGGGACCTAGGGGTTTGAACAGCGGCATACAGAGGGCAGGCACTCCTTTTCCCTGTCGTGGAAATCGTCATGAAGCAAGAAGCCAGACGACGACGGTGCCACAAGAGTTGGACGGTGAGGTTGAAAAGGGGCCCCAAACGAAGAAAGGCGACAGACCACTTGTTCCATGTGGCTGGATAGAGTTTGACTGGGGTCTGTGTCTTAGTTCTGTTTCAGGGGGTTATCAAAGTCAGCATATAACTGGCGGGTTGTGTCCCTTCAACCCACAACTTTCCCGCGGGTGACTTTGATGGTGAAGGCATGATTTGCCAGTTTGACAGGGTTTGCTCCGTTTGGAACCTCCAAAAGTGGCAGTTTCAAGAAACAACACCAGTGAATTGATCAACTTTTGATTTGGGGAAATCCATCGACGCCAGCTTGAGTGGGGCACATCCTCTCACAAACTTCACAGGCTTCATTTCGGCCACCGATTGCATTGCAGTCGCTTCTGTTGGGAAGGCAGTTGCAATCAAAGGTCTGTACCTTCGTCCCAGTATTTACCAGGTTACGATTTGACTAGAGGACGACTACTTTTCTTTCTCTTTATGAGAAGGTCGTTTGTGCCCTTGAACATGTTGTGTGTCGAAAGTATGGGCTGTCTCTGGGGATGCTTTGAGTGACAAACTCTGTTGTAGCTTTGACAACACGCGCACACACCCAATCATACGCAAACAGTAATTTGCGGGAGGGCCAGGTTCCTTGCTCGTCCCATCCTCGTCTGCATTTTTTGGGGGCTCTTTAACACTTTTCACGGTTGCTGCAAATCGGGCTTTGGGGGTTACTTTCCGTAATACTCAGGGACTTCCCTTGAAAGTAAGTACTGTAGTCTTGGAGATGAAATCCTGCTTTGGCATCAGAAAGGAGGGCCGAATTTGTAAAATGGCGTTGTTTTTTGGGGGTCCAAAGTTGCGGCATCGGAGTTTGAGGACACCGCCTTCGTTCAGCTGCAGGGCGAGCCCTGCGGCGGGGTTTGGGGTAAGCCGGTGGATGTGGACGCCTCCTCTCGCGCCATTTGGGTGGTCTGCGAGAAGGAGTCGACCCAGGGCCAATCGCGCGTTGAGCTGGTCGTGTTTGTTTTTGAAGCTGCCCCCAAATTGTGTGAAACCGCAGAGTCGGCGCCTTTGACAATTACAAGCAAGCCAAGCACTGTCACATGCCGCGCCTTGAGCGAGCTGCCATGTGTACTGCAGGTTTGCTATGATTCACAAATTGGGGTGGTTTCAATTGAAAGGCTAGATAGGTGCTGAGAGCACGCTGTGTTCTCAGTTCTAAGATTCTTCGTTGCTTTCTTTCGTTTCCAGTTTGTTCCCACCACCCCCAAACTACGGTGCATCATGAGTTATATCTTCTGGGTTTCTCTTTGGCACCGACCATAGCCTTTTAATTTTTGACCTCTTGGACACTGACTCTTGTCCTACCTATCAAGCAGTTTATCATTTCGGAGGTGGTGAAAGTCTAACCCATTCTGAGCGTGTTTGGTTTTTCGGGCCACCATGTTGTTCGGGCAATGCGGCATTCGCGCCCGCGGGTCGGAGAGCCTCACGAGAGCCATTCTCATTTTTCAAGGAAAGTGGGGCATTCGTTAGATGCTTTCCAGATGGATTGATTTCCGTTTGGATTGTAGCCTCAACTACCAAAAGTCCAATTGTTAGGAACTCGCAGATGTTTGGAATAGGGCAACTCACAAGATAGGTGGTCCATGCAACCCACCAAATTTTGTGTGTGGGTCCCCTTTAAGTAGCATATCTTTTTTCCCTCCAACAGAAGACCATCCATTTGTGGTTCTGTTAAAGACAACCCCCCAGGATTGTTCGTTTTAGCCCCAAACCGACCATTCCCCCCGATGTGGTGAATTTTTTGGCTCCCCCAACTCCAACTCCTGAGGAGTACCGCACTGAGCACGGGCCTGAGCTTGAGCACTTTTTGTTTGCCAAGTGGGGCTGGTCGACCACCAACAACCACGCCGCTCGCCTCGCCAGCCATTTTTCTCTTTTTTTGCTTTGTGCAGCGCAGCCGGGGGTTTTTGATTTTGTTTTTTCCCCCAGATCGCAACGGAAGCCGCCCAGGTTGAGGGTTCCCCCATGTTGAGACACACTCAGAGGTAGAGGTGGATTCCTCTTCCATTCTTTTTCAAAGCATCCGGTTTTTCACAAACATGGGCTGAATTTGTGCACAGACTTCCAGAGTACTTCGTCCCTTTTGCTGGATGGTGTTCCCCTTGAGCTGCCAAGAAGGCGAGGAACTGAAGTGATAAGGTTGCTCCTTCTGCATCTTGCCTGGCTGCCTTTAACTTTTTTGAAGCATGACTGTTTTCCCACGGCACGAGATGTCTATGGGCCAATGGGTGTGTCATCTTTTTAGAGGGATCCCCCCAGAAATGTGGTTTTCCTGGTGGTCTTGGAGCCGGAACCCAGGATCCGCTGGTTGATTGATGGGGTTGTGGTGTGTGTGTGTGTGGGTGTGTGTATGTGTGTGCCGGATCTTTCCACCTTCTTTTTGGGAGAGAAAGCCCCCCAAAAGTAAGAAACGCAACTTTCCCGTCTTCACCCCCCAAGCGAGCATTTTTTTTTCCCAGTGAGCTCTTGTCTGAGGTCTGGTGGCACATGATGCGCGGCGGCAACGTGGTGCAGTTGGACGCGGATGACGACGCCATGTGGGGCATCGACGGGCACGGCAACATCCTGTGGCGCCCGGCCGGGGACGTGGGGAAGCACAGCCGCTGGATGCGGGTAGAAGGCCCTCCGGAGGTGCCCACGTCGCCGTGCGGCCGAATTGTTGGGCCGTGCCGAGAGGGTAGGCAAACCGTAGTGTATGGATGTGGGATGTCAAGAGAAACTTGGGTTAGCTTGGCGAATAGATGGGTTTCACTGGTTTAGATGGGCTTTATGGGAACCCACCTATTTTGCCAGAAGGTCACCCGTGCACGAAGCCTTTGTCAGCAGACCAAAGAAGCAGATGCCCATGCCATCGCACGAAAGCTGGCTAACTATGGGGAGCTTCTTATCATGGGACACTTGAAGCCGGGTTCGACATGCACAACTCAAGAGCTTGCATCCAAAAGATCTTTGCAACCTGTCAAGCGCAGCAAGACTCAGGTCAGGTTTCCTTATTTCAAAGATACGCACGATGTTTTTGAGCCAGAGGGTCGTTTTTGGCACGAAGGGACCGACCCACAACTTTGTCCCAACGACTTTTTTCTCCACGCCTTAGTCGGCAGGTATCCCCGACTTTGATCGCGGCGGATAACAACGACCAGGGCACCTGGCTGTGGTGTGCCGACCACCAGCACCGGCTCTGGCGCCGGAGCCCGGGCGACTACCATCGGCCTGGCCACGAGAAGTGGGCAGACCAGGATGCCGAGGGCGACCCCTTCTGGCCCAAGGAGCCTGTGTCAAACAGTACCCATCACGAGGGTCAGGTTTCCCGGTTTTCCTCTTCTCCAATGCTCTGGGGGTCCTTTGTTGGTTGCTTGCTTGGTTGCTTGGTTGCTTGTTTGCTTGCTTGCTTGCTTGGTTGCTTAGTTGCTCGGTTGCTTGTTTGCTTAGTTGCTTGGCTGCTTGGGTGCTTGGTTGCTCGGTTGCTTGGTTGCTCAGTTGCTCGGTTGCTTGGTTGCTTAGTTACTTGGCTGCTTGGTTGCCTGGTTGCTTAGTTGCTTAGTTGCTTGGTTGTTTGGTTGCTTGGTTGCTCGGTTGCTTGGTTGCTTAATTGCTTGGTTGCTTAGTTGCTTGGCTGCTTGGTTGCTTGGTTGCTTGCTTGGTTGCTTGGTTGCTTGTTTGCTTGCTTGCTTGCTTGGTTGCTTAGTTGCTCGGTTGCTTGTTTGCTTAGTTGCTTGGCTGCTTGGGTGCTTGGTTGCTCGGTTGCTTGGTTGCTCAGTTGCTCGGTTGCTTGGTTGCTTAGTTACTTGGCTGCTTGGTTGCCTGGTTGCTTAGTTGCTTAGTTGCTTGGTTGTTTGGTTGCTTGGTTGCTCGGTTGCTTGGTTGCTTAATTGCTTGGTTGCTTAGTTGCTTGGCTGCTTGGTTGCTTGGTTGCTTAATTGCTTGGTTGCTTGGTTGCTTGGTTGCTTGATTCCTGCATCCCCAGCATCACGTCCCAGGGCTGCTTTTGGCTCTGATTTGGTAGCAATAGATTCTCGAAGGAGCTAAGGCCCAACAAGGGTTGAAATGCGAGAAGGCACTCCGTGCACTGGAATGGACGTGAGAGCATGCAGAGGGATTCCTTTCATTTTTTACGGCCCACCTCGAGAGTTGGCTGATTTAGTTGGGTTTAGGCTGCATCTTCGTGGAGGCAGATCGTCAGCTTGGGCTTCAGTTTGGCTCGGCTGAGAGCTGATCTCCAGGATGGTGTTGGGTTGAGGGCTTGCGTTGGGGTTGGGATCTCATTTGCTAAGTGTCTTGAGAACAGCCCAAGACCCAGCATGAAAAATCAGAGCCACTACGCCTGCTGGTGCTGGGATGTGATGCGGCCAAACCGCCTGCGGGTGGGATGTAGCCAAACAAATCCCGACGGCACGAAAAAGACCAAGCTCAGCCCAAGCGCTTTTGAGCTGATCCAACCCCGAGATCCGGTCCCTTTCCCTCCAGAGGCTTCAATGGTGCTATTTGCGTGCCTCAAAAAGATCTGGTAAATGGACAAGACGAAGACCTGCGCTTGGACCAAGACCAGTTGGACCAAGACCAGTTGGACCAAGACCTGCGGGTTCCTGGCTCGTAAATTGCTTTAAACTGCATTTGTTTGCACGGCGAGAGGGGGAGAGAGAGAGAGAGAGCAGGACGTGGTGCTGAAGGATCTGAAGGCGAACCAAGGATGGGCCCGGGCCGTGGACAGCCAGGGCCATCTACTGCGCCGCGGCATCAACGGCACCTGCTGCCAGGCGCCCACGGTGGGAATGAGCCGGGCTTGGGTTAGATTCCCTTGAAAAACCGTAGTTTTTTTTCTTCTCCGGGGGTCATTCCTTCATTGCCTTCAAGGACACCATCCGGGGGGTTTGGGGAGGTGGTTTTTTTGGGTCATGCCCTCATTGCCTGCTGAGACAGTTTGTTTGCAACCAAACACATTCTTTTTCAAGTCCATGAGGGCTTGACAGTTCCCAAGCAGTTCTTTTTCTCTAGGGTCACGGGCTGTCTTAGGCATCAGGGCTTGGCCTTTTCTTTCGAAACGGCGGTTCAAACCCTTCCCTTTGCCCTTTGTCTCCTTCTGAAAGCTGCAAAACGTCGCAAGGGACCTGGCACCATCGTTTTGGGCCTCGCTTGGGGCGGTGGAGGTTTGCAGCCGCACTTCACCGTGCGGGGTATGTTGGGGTTTGGTTGATGGGAGTGGTGCGCTGTTTGGTTTTTGGATAGTTTTGAGGTGCATCACACTTGCCCAACGCCTTTTGCGCTGTTTGGTTTGGTTTTGGTTTTGGGGTACGCTGATTGATTTTGGATAGTTTTTGAGGTGAATTGTCCAACGCCTTTTGCGCTTTGTCTGGAGGAAACTTGGTGGGTCGAGGCCCACAGGGCTCCTTAAAAGATACATTTTGCCACCAATTGAAACATGGCTTTTTCAACACCAACATAAAGTTGGACACCACCATTTACAAGTTGCAATGTTCAGGTGTATAATGCATCCGGATCCCTCTTTGTAAGGGGTCTTTTTCCCCCCCCCCCCGTGTTGAGCCATACCCAAGTGGCGGGAAAGGACCCCAAAAAAGGCCCCCCCCCCCCCCCCTTCCGGCGCCCGGATCGGCCGACTTCGCCAGGATCCGGCGTCCCCGGTGCACTGCTGGTGCGCGGAGGCTGCGCCACTGCTCTCGGTGGTGACGGACAATGGGGACCACGGCCTCGGCCGCACGGCCCAACGGCCCAAGCCAAGGATTGAAAGGTGCGCTTTTTTCTTGGGGGGTTTGGGTTGGTAGAATGTTTTTTATTCTCCCTTTTTTTCCTCGTTGCCAAGAGAAGAACCACTCTTTTTTTTTGGGGGGGGCCGCCCGCCCAAACATCGACACCCCATGTGTTTCGGTGCTTGCAAGCTCTCCAAAGGCTGTTCTGGAGATGGTGCAATGGTTCAAAGCAAAGGCGGTCACGGGCTTTAGCGTTGAGCAGCGGTCTGGAAAGCTGATGCTGCATTGCTGACAGATTGGGCAGTGGTCGAAACCAGCGGGCCGGTTTCGAGAATCCAGGACCCCGCAAGGTGGAGGTGTCAACACTAGCGTTTTTTTTTTTTTTTTGGAAGGGAAGTTTTGAAGCACGCGAGGTACTTGAAATACTGTGGATGGACAAAATCCTGCACCACCTCAGAAACCCTGGAATGATGTTTCTCCTTGTTTTTTCTCCAACAAGCTATGGCTATGGTTTCAACCATGGTTTGAAAGTGGTGCGAAATGGATTTTGTCCATCCGCAGTACCACCAGTTGGAGGGAAGCTGAAAAAAATGCTTTGCCCCAAACTTCTGCGTCGGCACTGAGGGTACTACTTCCCGTACCTGGAACACAAGAGGGCTGAGGGCTGGGAGGCCGGGCGAGTGGCGAGTTGTTGGCTGCAACCAGATTTCCTTAGCCAAGTTGCGATCGCTTTTTTTCAGTCACTGTTGCTGGGTTTTTGCGGTAAAGTTCATGGAACAAAGCAATCGCAACTGCTGATCCAGGCTGGCACCACTGGTACGATTGGTATTCCTGAGAGGGAGCCAATAGGAAGATTGTAATGTTAAACCATTGGTTTGCTTGTGAACCTAAGGGATGCTTCAGTTCTGGGTTGCTTCCCCACTAGCAAAAACCGCCGGCAAATGTGTCCTTTTCTTTGTCCTGCGCAACCCCAAGTAAGTCTCCAAAGGACCAAAGGATCGACATGCGCGAAAGGACCCAAGGCTCTGACAAGGTCATGTTTCCGGACTACGGTTCATGTTGGATCAGTTGTGGGATCACTCGGGGTTTCTCCCGTCTGATACAAGGGATTTTTTCCCCTTTTATATGAACACCATAGAGCCGTCGGGAGCTTTTTTTTGTTCTGACAGAGGTGGATTCCATTGCCAGCGCTGTGGATTTTGGAAAGGCCGCAGAGAGCCGGGAGATCCATCTTGCCTTGAAAACCGGATCGCTGGCAGTGTGACGGACAAACACTTAGAAACGGTGTTGGAAATTTTCTTTTGGCACCAGGTACTTTTTTCGTTTCTAAGTGCTGTCTCCAGCAGGTACCTTTCGTTTCTAAGTGTTGATCCGGACTGCTACAGCCCAATTCAACACTTAGAATTTCTTTTCAACACTTAGAAACGTTTTGCAGCACTAGCCCAACAGCTATATACGATCGTTCATGTGTTTCACGCCTTGTTTGATGGCCCCACCTTGCTCACACACGTGCTGACATGTATGGAGGATTGGTCATGTATACACACAAACAAGTCCAATTGGTAGACTCTGGAAGGGGGGGGGGTTGGGGGAGGCGTGTCTAAGTGTTCACCCCCAGCTGATTTCAAGCTTCCGGCAACCCCAAGAAAGCACCGATGCCCCGAAGAGGAAGGTCTATATATATATATATGTAAGTATGTGTGTATGTAAATAACTCATGCCTTGCTCGCACACGCACTGACATATATGTAGTATTGGTCATGCACATACACAGACAAGCCGCATTGGTAGAATCTGGGGCCGGGTGGGGGGGTGGGGGGCGTTTCTAAGTGTTCACCCCCAGCTGATGTCAAGCTTCCAGCAACCCCAAGATAACACCGATGCCCCCATGACGAAGGTCTATATCTATATATATATATATATTTATAAATATGCGTGTGTGGTTGTGTAAGTAGATCATGCCTTGCTCACACACGTGCTGACATGTATGGAGGATTGGTCATGAAAATATACAAGCAAGTCCAATTGGTAGACTGGGGGGTTGGGGGAGGCGTTTCTAAGTGTTCACCCCAAGCTGATTTCAAGCTTCCGGCAACCCCAAGAAAGCACCGATGCCCCCCAGGATGAAGGTCTATATACATATATAAATATGTGTGTGAGTTTGTGTAAGTAGATCACGCCTTGCTCACACACGTGCTGATGTATACACACAAACAAGTCCAATTGGTAGACTCTGGGGGGGGGGGGGGGTTGGGGGAGACGTTTCTAAGTGTTCACCCCCAGCTGATTTCAAGCTTCCGGCAACCCCAAGGAAGCACTGATGCCCTGAGGAGGAAGGTCTACATATATACATATACATAGAAATATATGTAAGTAGATCATGCCTTGCTCACACAGTGCTGACATGTAAGTGCCGGATTTCTGGGCCTTGAAGCGTGCATTTTGAGCCGTGAAACATGTCAAAGGATGCTCCAGGAACCACAATAAGTGAATGTGCCACAACAAGGCCTTCTTGGCACTTTCCTGTCGTTCATTTCCGGAACGCGGGTGCCTCGAATGTGGGGCAGGGAAAAGGATGTCTTTTTGCCTAGGTCACATGGGTGTTTGTGTAAGTAGATCATGCCTTGCTCACACACGTGCTGACATGTATGGAGTATTGGTCATGTAAACACACAAACAAGTCCAATTGGTAGACTCTGAAGAGGGGGGGGTTTGGGGCAGGCGTTTCTAAGTGTTCACCCCCAGCTGATTTCAAGCTTCCGGTAACCCCAACAAAGCACCGATGCCCCGAGGAGAAAGGTCTATATATACAAATATGTGTGTGTGTAAGTAGATCATGCCTTGCTCACACAGTGCTGACATGTAGGGAGGATTGATCATGTATACACACAAACAAGTCCATGGGGGGGGGTTGGGGGAGGCGTTTCTAAGTGTTCACCCCCCGCTGATTTCAAGCTTCCGGCAACCCCAAGAAAGCACCGATGCCCCGAGGAGGAAGGTCTACAAACATATATATATATATGTGTAAGTAGATCATGCCTTGCTCACACAGTGCTGACATGTAAGTGCCGGATTTCTGGGTCTTGAAGCGTGCATTTTGAGCCGTGAAACATGTTAAAGGATGCCCCAGGAACGACAATAAGTGAATGTGCCACAACAAGGCCTTCTTGGCACTTTCCTGTTGTTCATTTCCGGAACGCGGGTGCCTCGAATTTGGGGCAGGGTGTTTGTGTAAGTAGAGCATGCCTTGCTCACACAGTGCTGACATGTAGGGAGGATTGGTCATGTATACACACACACAAACAAGTCCAATTGGTAGACTCTGGGGAGGGGTTGGGGGAGGCGTTTCTAAGTGTTCACCCCCAGCTGATTTCAAGCTTCCGGCAACCCCAACAAAGCACCGATGCCCCGAGGAGAAAGGTCTATATATACAAATATGTGTGTGTAAGTAGATCATGCCTTGCTCACACAGTGCTGACATGTAGGGAGGATTGATCATGTATACGCACAAACAAGTCCATGGGGGGGGGTTGGGGGAGGCGTTTCTAAGTGTTCACCCCCAGCTGATTGCAAGCTTCCGGCAACCCCAAGAAAGCACCGATGCCCCGAGGATGAAGGCCTATATATATATATATACATATGTGTGTGTTTGTGTAAGTAGACTTGTTACACACAAAGTGCAATTGGTAGACACTGGGGGGGGGGGGGTTGGGGGAGGCGTTTTTAAGTGTTCACCCCAAGCTGATTTCAAGCTTTCGGCAACCCCAAGAAAGCACCGATGCCCCCAGGAGGAAGGTTTATATACAAATATGTGTGTGTAAGTAGATCATTCCTTGCTCACACACTGCTGACATGTAGGAAGGATTGATCATGTATACACACAAACAAGTCCAATTGGTAGACTCTGGGGGAGGCGTTTCTAAGTGTTCACCCCCAGCTGATTTCAAGCTTCCGACAACCCCAAGAAAGCACCGATGCCCCCAGGATGTATATATATTTATAAAATGTGTGTGTGTGTGGGTTTGTGTGGGTGTGTGTGGGTGTGTGTGTGGGTGTGTGTGTGTGGGTGTGTGTGTGTGTGGGTGTGTATGTGTGTGTGTGGGTGTGTGTGGGTGTGTGTGGGTGTGTGGGTGGGTGTGTGGGTGGGTGTGGGTGTGGGTGTGGGTGTGGGTGTGGGTGTGGGTGCTGGTGTGGGTGTGGGTGTGGGTGTGGGTGTGGGTGTGGGAGTGTGTGTGTGTGTGTGTGTGTGTGTGTGTGTGTGTGTGTGTGTGTGTGTTTAGGTAAGTACATCATGCCTTGCTCACACAGTGGTGACATGTGTGGAGTATTTGTCATGTATACAAACAAACAAGTCCAATTGGTAGACTCTGTTGGGGGAGGCGTTTCTAAGTGTTCACCGCCCAGCTGATTTCAAGCTTCCAAGCTTCCGGCAACCCCAAAGAAAACACCGATGCCCCGAGGACGAAGGTCTATATATACAAAAATATATACATATGTGTGTGTAAGTAGATCATGCCTTGCTCACACAGGTGCTGACCTACATGGAGTATTGGTCATGTAATATACACACACATACAAGCCCAATTGGTTGAATCTGGGGAGGGGGGGTGTTTCTAAGTGTTCACCGCCCAGCTGATTTCAGGCTTCCGGCAACCCCAGAAAACACCGATGCGCCGAGGATGAAGATATATATATATATAATTATATTCATATGTGTGTGTCTAAGTAGATCATGCCTTGCTCACATTGGTGCTGACCAACATGGAGTATTGGTCATGTAATATATACACACGTACAAGCCCAATTGGTTGAATCTGGGGAGGGGGGGTTTCTGAGTGTTCGCTGCCCAGCTGATTTCAGGCTTCCGTCAACCCCACAAAACACCGATGCCCCAAGGATGAAGGTCTACATATATATATATGTACGTATGTGTGTATGTAAATGCATAATGCCTTGCTCAAACACGCACTGACATATATGTAGTATTGGTCATGTACATACACAGACAAGCCCCATTGGTAGAATCTGGGGTGTTTCTAAGTGTTCCACTCCAGCTGATTTCAAGCTTCCGGCAACCCCAAGAAAGCACCGATGCCCCGAGGAGGAAGGTCTATATATATATATATATGTGTGTGTGTGTTTGTGTAAGTAGATCATGCCTTGCTCACACAGTGGTGACATGTACGGAGGATTGGTCATGTATACACACAAACAAGTCCAATTGGTAGACTCTGGGGAGGGGTTGGGGAGGCGATTCTTTGTGTTCACCCCCCATTTCAAGCTTCCGACAACCCCAAGAAAGCACCAATGCTTCCAGCATTTGTATATATATATATATAAATGTGTGTGCTTGTGTAAGTAGATCATGCCTTGCTCAGACAGTGCTGACATGTATGGAGTATTGGTCACGTATACACACAAACAAGTCCAACTGGTAGACTGTGGGGGGGGGGGGGGGGGGGGGAGGCGTTTCTTTGTGTTCACCCCCCAGCTGATTTCAAGCTTGCGACAACCCCAAGAAAGCACCAATGCCCCAGCATTTATACATATATATATATATATATAAAAATGTGTGTGTTTGTGTAAGTAGATCATGCCTTGCTCACACATTGGTGACATGTATGGAGTATTTGTCATGTATACAAACAAACAAGTCCAATTGGTAGACCCTGTTGGGGGAGGCGTTTCTAAGTGTTCACCGCCCAGCTGATTTCAAGCTTCCAAGCTTCCGGCAACCCCAAAGAAAACACCGACGCCCCGAGGACGAAGGTCTATATATATATATATATACATATGTGTGTGTAAGTAGATCATGCCTTGCTCACACAAGTGCTGACCTGGTCATGTAATATTCACACACATACAAGCCCAATGGGGAGTGTTTCTAAGTGTTCACCGCCCAGCTGATTTTAGGCTTCCGGCAACCGCAGAAAACACCGATGCGCCGAGGATGAAGATATATATATATATATAATTATATTCATATGTGTGTGTCTAAGTAGATCATGCCTTGCTCACATTGGTGCTGACCAACATGGAGTATTGGTCATGTAATATATACACACGTACAAGGAATCTGGGGAGGGGGGGTTTCTGAGTGTTCGCTGCCCAGCTGATTTCAGGCTTCCGTCAACCCCACAAAACACCGATGCCCCAAGGATGAAGGTCTACATATATATATATATATGTACGTATGTGTGTATGTAAATGCATAATGCCTTGCTCACACACGCACTGACATATATGTAGTATTGGTCATGTACATACACAGACAAGCCCCATTGGTAGAATCTGGGGGTGTTTCTTTGTGTTCACCCCCAGCTGATTTCAAGCTTCCGGCAACCCCAAGAAAGCACCGATGCCCCGAGGAGGAAGGTCTATATATATATATGTGTGTGTGTGTGTGTGTGTGTGTTTGTGTAAGTAGATCATGCCTTGCTCACACAGTGGTGACATGTACGGAGGATTGGTCATGTATACACACAAAGTCCAATTGGTAGACTCTGGGGAGGCGCGTTTCTTTGTATTCACCCCCCAGCTGATTTCAAGCTTCCGACAACCCCAAGAAAGCACCAATGCCCCCAGTATTTATACATATTTATATATAAATGTGTGTGTTTGCGTAAGTAGATCATGCCTTGCTCAGACAGTGCTGACATGTATGGAGTATTGGTCACGTATACACACAAACAAGTCCAACTGGTAGACTGGGGGGGGGGGGGTTGGGGGAGGCGTTTCTAAGTGTTCACCCCCAGCTGATTTCAATCTTTCGGCAACCCCAGGAAACCATTTCATGAACCTTATGATTTGTTTCATGATTGTCCATGGTGTCGCGCAGTTTTTTCCTGTTGTTTCCTGCTGAAACAAGGAAGTGATGAACACATGATGAAAAACAGATGATGTTCATGGGAAGTTCTGAAAACCAAAAAATGCCAGCAATTCATCATTTGTTTATCATTGTTCATTGTGTCACCATTCTCATAATGTGCTCATCTTGGTTCATCATTGTTTCATCATCTCGTGATTTGTTTATCCTTTTTTAGTCAAAAACGTTGTTTTTTCGTGATTTGTAGGTTGTCTTTTGTCTGGCTGCCAGAAGATCTCTTAAGTCTATCATGTGTGCTGTGTGCCTGATTCATTGTGTATATATATATATATACATCTAGTTCCGCTGTTTTTTTCTTGCATGGTCGACTCTTTTCTCTTTCGGGGCAACGCCCGTGACCAATGCTTAGAAGCCGCAGGTACCTCTCGGGCAACACTTAGAAACGTTTCTAAGTGTTTGACGGCTGGTAATATGCATCAGAATCGCCATGAAGGCGAAAAAAACGTTTCTAAGTGTTGGTCGGCCGAACCGTTTCTAAGTGTTGAATTTACTGTGTTTTTTCGTTTCTAAGTGTTTGTCGGAAATTTTGGAAACCAAAACTGTTTCTAAGTGTTTGTCCGGCACTATACCTGGGCTTCCGAAGCGCAGGCCTCTGCGAACCGGTGGCTGCAGCTGCTCACCAGCCGGGACGTGGGCCACAACGCCGACAGTGTGCCCACCAGCTCCCAGTACTACTCCACCCACTGCCAGGCGAGAAGACCATCCACGCGGCAGTTTTTTGTATTTTCCATGGATTCTTGTTTTTTCTCTCTTTTCTATTTTTGTTTCCGGGACCCAAATGGTTTGATGGCATTTGGTGAATGTCCCTCTTGGTGGTTCTTTAAACCCACAACAAGAAGGTTACCATCAACAAAAAAGAACTTGCGGTGGGTAGCAAGTTCCTTTTTTGTTTTTGTTTTCTGGACTCAAGTGGTTGTGACTCCAACACGGGCCACACGCAAGAACAAACCACGATGACGCCCGCCCAAGCTCAAGCGAAGAGGTAGCCACTGACCACTGCCTGGAGCTGGACGTGGTCATCGAGGAGTTTTTAGAGACCTGGGAGACGGAGGCCAAGACGATGTGGCAGACCTGGAACTGGGACACCTTGAAAAAGGACTGACGCTTTGTTTGGGTGTTTGACCCTCTGCTCAGTTGTGCAAAACCGATCTTTCAACCTTTTGTGTTTTCCGTTTTGGTCCACTTTTGGTACAGGTCCCGGAAGGTTAGCCTTTTAATTCTAGGTCCTGTGGGCAAGTGAGTTTGCGTTTTACCCAAAATGGTGTGCAACACCTTTCTGGGGCTCTTGCAAGAGTTCTCTGGCGGGTTTAGATCGAGGCTTCGAGCTTTGGACTCTGCTCCATGGTTTGGGGGTATGTTCGATATAATAATTCCGTTGATAGCTTGCTGGGAATAAACCTGGGATTCGCTTAAAGTTTAAGGGGATGGTGTATCTCAGGGTCATTCCATTTCTCATTCCCTGCCTATCGAACCAGCAAGGCTATCAGATGATGGTTGCTGAGATACCCAGAAATTGGCCGAGTTGGGAAGTTTTTCAGCAATGTCCAGCCCGGGATTTTAGCAGAACCTGGTGGATTCGTGGATTCGGATGGTGTTCCCTCCGAAAGTGGTCAGGGGCGCTGCTCTAAAATGGGTCATACATACCCCCAGAAATTAGCCAGGAGATTGTCAAGTCAGTGTTTTGCTTTTAAATATGTTTGGGACTTGAAGGTGTTGTTGTCTTTTTGTGGGGACACCCTCGACGAGGAGCGGCACAAGATGTTTGACTTCGTGTTGACTTTTGTGGTGGACCAACAACATTGTTGATCGTCCACAAAAGCCAGGGGGGCCTCAGTTGTCTCCTGTCCTTTTGGGAAACCTTTGTAATTTTGTCCGGCGCTCACAGGGTCAAATGGCCATGAATCTTTGTAGGGAGCCTTTCAGAGATGATATGTTTGGGAGGAAGAAAGCGACTCCCGACGTTTCCCAGAAAGCCAGCGGACCCTGTAGCTCACTCATGTCCATGGAGGGTACCTCGCATTTTTGTGCACCATTGCTCACCCAGCTTCGTCTCAAACTTGGAATTGGACCCCCGCACATGAGTTGTTTCCCTTCGCTTCCCGCTTAAACCGACCCCAATGAGGCTACGAACCCACAACAATACGAGAAGCCAAATGCTTGGCTTCCTTTGGTTTCCCTTACACCAACCTCAAAAAGGGTAGGTCTGAACTGAACAAAAGAACGCACTCGAACTAAAACAAAATGCACACAAAAAAAGAAACTAAATCCTTTCCTTAAGGGTAGCTATCAACTCCCAAGAAAACGATCTCGAACCAAACAAAAGCGACGTGCAAAATATGGGTATGCTTCAATATTAAAGCACCAGGAATTGGACCGCAGGTTTTAGTCCTGGGTTCCATGTACCAGGGGAAGCCATTTGGGGTTGCTCGATTTGGCACATCCACATTTTTTGGGGGGTCGATCAATATTCCTGAACCCCAAACTGGCCAAACTTTTCGCAATTTCACGGTGAAAGTCGTATCTTTTTTGTGGTTCCCCCCGTGGTCACCCCACGTTACAACCCCCTCTTCCCACGTCCTGTTGCTATCACCCCCCCCCCCCCAGACGCCATACGCGTGAGGACTTCAGCCAGTGCAGCCGCTCCAGCGAGAGCTGCCAGAGGCCTCTGAAGCACTACGGGGCCTTTCGGGAGAGGTTCATGCGGCACCTGTTCTGCTGTTCCCGGCGCTTGCAGACGCCCCAGGCGATTGGGGGATTGGGAGAGCAGGGGACAGGAGGGAAGGCTGGGGAGGGGAGCTGAGTTGCATTTTTTTGTTTGTTTTTCAATCTGGGCTTAAGCTCGGTTTTCCTTTCTGGGGAAAAGGAAAGCAGACCTGGGTTTGAGGCCAACGTGTAGATATACGTGGCATAACAGTTCTCCCCCACACGGGCTGCAACGCTTTGGATGATGAGGTATCCGCTACCGCTTCGCAAACTTCCGAGGGCAACCGCTGACTTTAACCACCCCAAGCCAAGCTTCCTAGATCACCCGCGGAATCAGCATTCTTGTGCAATCTCCATCCACCTTTCCGCACACGATGGAGTTCACTTTCAAAAACGAACCCTGCACCATCTTCTTTCCTGACGGACATCAAGGGAATTCTGCCGCCTACTTTCGTCCTGGTGTATTTGTGAACGGGGAACCCATTTGGGTGTGTGATTTTTGAGGGTACCGTTTTTTTGGTGGTTTTCATGGCAAACCAATAGGACGCGCCGAAATGTTGGCGTCTTGTTGTGCGTGTCAGACCCTCAAGAGCCAGACATAGGTGTCCTTTCTAGGTTTTGGTGAGAAATAGATGGCGCTGGTTTAGGTTGGTTTTATTCCATTGCCCAGGGAAACCCATCTATTTTTCCAAAAGGCCACCTATGTGAGCTCATTTGTCTTTAAAGCAAGGTGTCACCTACCTGGAAAGCCCTTCAAACTTGAGCTTGAGTCCATGTTTTTTGGGGGTCCAACCAAAAAACCAGAGGCAGATGGCATCACGCACATGTTTTTTTTTGGGGTCCACCCATCTATTTTCAACCAAAAAGGGACACCTGAGCCGAGCTTTGCCCTCAGGATCCAAAGTGCGAGTCGCAGTCCTGTCGTGCCTATGACATGACGTGCCCCGGCTCGCGGCTGCTGACTTCGGACATGGACTGCACCGTGTACCACTCCCGGGATCCCGGGACTTTGAGACCTGCACTCCACTTTGGTCTGCTTGTTTTATTTTTTTCCCCTCGGCGTTTCTTTCTGGTCTCTTGTGGGTGGCCACTGCTTTAGTATATCTTCAGGCGTGTCAGCTGATTTTGCTTGGCCCACAAAGCACAAAGAGGCGTGGGGCTTTTTGTACTCGCGGGGGGCAAACATTTGGACCGGAATGGACCCAAAGAAGCTCGAGCGACATTTGTGGTTGAAATACCATTTCTTTTTCAAGTTGAAGAAATGGCCCCACAACGCCATTCGATGCGCCGATCCAGGATCAAGAACATGAGCCAGTTGGCCAAGAAGGCGTTCTTCGAGTAGCTTGGTTGCCCAAAGCGAATCGACCGGATCTGACCTTTTGGTTTCTTTCCAATTTTTGTCCATAGATCATGGCCACCTGAAAAAGCTGATATGGAGGTTGATCAAAAGGTCCGATGAACATGGGGTGACCATTAGGAAACCGCACAAAAGATATGACTTTCACCGCTAGCTGGGAAGAGTCGAAGGCTTGCTCATAGTCCTCTTGGGGCTTTCCGAACCGGAAGATGGATGAGCCCATGCATATATCTCACCTCTTTCTGGCTCTCGGGAGAAATCGGACGCTGGTTGGACGGAAAGCTGGCGCCGCCGAGGTACATCAACAAGCCCGCGGACCTGGGGATCTTGTTCGACGTCTCGTTGTACGGGACTTGGACCTGGATCCCCGACGAGATCTTCCAGAGGTTCGACTGGCCCAAGGCCTCCCAGGCGCGTTTTCAACCTAGCAGCCAACAGCCAACAGCCCAACAAGTTAGCAACCGAGCGGCCTAACAACCCAAGAACAACCAACAGCCCAACAGCAACAGCCCAGAGCAGCAAAGCAGCAGCCCAACAAAACCATTTCCTTCTTTGGAAGATTTTGTCGAGTCTTTCCAGACTGAAGTCTCAGTCTCCTCGCGAAGAGTCAACATCTTGGGGTTTCGGGGGGTCGGCCAGGTGTTAGCTTAGCTGTACTTGGTGGCTCAAGCCCAGCCTTTGCGGTTCAACTTGGCTTTTTTCTCCGCCTTTTGATTGGGGAAAGGTGGTTGGGTTTCCGAGTGTGACCCAAAGGTGTTCGACTTTTAGAAGGGGATCTGAGGACGATTCGGGATAGAAGGGTTCCTTTGACACCAGAAGGAAACAAGGACACAACCTGCCAAACGTCTGCCTTTCAAGGGTGACCGGCGTATCACGCCATTGCGAGAAGCATTCAAGAACCATTATCAACAGGGGACCTGGGACCTGCAACAAGAGACAATTCCGAAAACAAAACAGAACCCAAATCCCGAGCCAAGTTCACACTAAATGTAAATGATGTCTACCAGTGTGGTATCAACCACATCAAGCTTGACACACCCATTCCCTTACCAACCAAAAGGGGTTGACGGTTTTTTCTTTCCATTCCCCACCAGACCCAGCCCAAAAGCACCATTTCAGGCTTTGTTTTTCTGACCAATTCCCAGATTCGAACAGGCCTCCAAACGGTCTTTCCACTTCCCACTGTCAGGACCTCTTTGAGCCGGTGGTGGGCAAGGAGACGGTGGTCTGGGTCTTCCGCCGGAAGTGCACCCAGACGGCGCGCCAGGCCATCTTGGAGAAGGCCGTCCGCGGGGAAGGTCGTGTCGTTTTTTTCCCTTGCCGGTTCTCAGCAGTTTGTTTTTTTGGTTCCTTCAAGGGAATCCCTGGTTCATTCCAAACACCCAGAAGGTCATTCACTAGTGAGCACCATTTGCTTGCTTCAGGCAACCCAGAAACGGGTTTGGAACTGGATTTGAAGGGCCTGGTTCTTGTGAGTAAGCCTGAGTGGGAAGCCAATTCCGGAACACCTCCAGAAGCTGAGCAACAGACGGGTTAGCTGGCTGAAGGTTACCCACTTAGCTGTTCCTCCAGGTTGATGCGGTTGGCACACTAGACTAACCCCGGCAGATTGCTTTGCCCAGCTGGAAACCTATGGGTTTGCAGGGCAGCCTCCAGACCTCCATTTAGGCACCGAACTGGACTTGTGCCTCGCCGCGCGCTTTTTTCCTCAGCAAAAATGGACATTCCTTTTGGTGGATGTCAGACAGAGGTTCGAAGAATCGCTTCTTCTAGTCATCGGATCCCGTGGGCCTGCAGGAACCGTGGGCTGCTTTTCTCACGTGGGCTTGCAGCTTTTGTTTCCGGCAGGAATGACCATCAGTGTCCCAACTGCTTGGGGCCATTGGTTCCAATGCAGCTTGACAGAGGGTAACTGCTTGGCCTCGGGGCTTTCCGTTCTGTGGTGCTTTGTCGTCCCTGGTTTGGCTTCGGAATTGTCCACCATCTTCCTGTGCCTTGGAAGCCTTTGTGCAGTTGCTATATGGCTGTGGGTCAACACCAACGGGATCCCATTTTGGTTGGTAGGTGAATTCACCACCCGTTTTAGGCTTCCTATTTTAGTGGTTGGATTGAATCGGATGTTCACTGGGGGCTAACCGATTCGGGTTTTGAGAGTTGCCCATGCCCAGATGGCTATGAATTTTAGTAGGAACCCCCTCCAAAGCGGCTGGACATGGATTTTCGCCCGAAGTGTGGTGTCCACCACATGGCCCCTACTGAAAAAATTCAGACCAAAAGTGCTTCCGAGAGTTGCCCAGTGCTTCTGCTCCATGGGCCCCGGGTGTTTGTCAAGGTTCGTGCTGAAGGCAGCAATGGCAAGGTCAAACAAGGCGTAGGCCTGTTTGCGCATCAGATGAAAGTTGGTGGTTGGACATATCTTCCACCAGAAAGAGTTGAGGAACCCTGGAAGCTTTGAACGCTCGAGTATCTGAAAGCTAAAACTCAGACCACCAGCTTTCGACATTGGCTTCCTGGATGGGCCGCGCCGTCCAAACAAAACAAAGCTCAAACTTGATGCCTTTTTCTTTTGGGGGAGGTACGGTTCCGGAAGCTTGTAGGTGAAGCACCTCATCCACGATGGGCCTCATCACATAAAGCATCAGAAGGAGGACTTGGACAAGCTGACGGCGGCTTTGAAGATCTTTGTGGGAAACCTCGCGGAGGGGAACTACCACTCTGGGCGCTCCATGAGGGACTGGGATCAGTTGTACCAGGAGCAGAGAGCAGAACAGAACCGCTCGGATTCCCAATGGGTTGTTGCTCGGTCGGAAGAGCCTAGGATTCCTTTTTGGTACAAGCGGTTTCGCCGGGGGAAAGCGGGTTCTTGCAAGAACACCCTGATGCAGGATTCTTTTTTTCTTCTCATTTTCTTGTTTGGAATACTTGGTGATCCTGTAGATTCTGGTTTTGGAGTTGCATAGTTCTCAGATGGGTGATCCTGCCCTCCGGCAAATTGAGGCCACGTTGTGGCTTGGACATGCAGCTCGTTTAGGATGAGGGGATGCTCATCCTTGAAAGGAGTTGTCAACATGGCCGTGGTTCAAAACCAATGGGATCCCATTTTGGGATAGGTGCACCACCAATTTTAGTCTATTTTAGTGGGGATTGCGATGTTCAACTGCGGGTACGGGGTTTTGACCCATGGCCACATGGGGACGCTGGACGTTTCAGTTTTTGCATTTTGACACATGTGAACGAGCTGTCGAATCTTGTTCGTGGTCCCGGACCAAGCCTCGAAGAGCATATGAACATCTTCGGCCGCATAGAAACAGATAACGACTCAGGCAGCGATGCTTGTGAAGTGTGTGGCAACTGGTTCTGGGTGAAGGCCTCCCACCACGAAAATGTCCTGATTGAACTTTGGCGTTCTGATCTAGTTCGGAGCCAGACAGGGTACCCGGAAATAACCACACACATGCACACGCAAACAACCGGTGACCAGTGCAATGCATCGACTTCAAAAGCACACCTTTCCCAGTCACCCCAAAAAAGGCGGCCTGTTTCGAAGCAAAGGATGGTTGGAAAGAATGGAAAAGGAATCGACACCTAGAGAGAGGGTCTCCAAACTCTCAAAATGGGTGTTCCAGAGCAATTCTCGGGAAAAACAAAACAAAAAGCACAAGCCACCCCCAAAAAAAGAGTTTCTTGACTCCCCCCCCAAAAAAACCAACAACAACAAAAAGCAGTGGATTCTCTTTGGACTGATGGAAAGCGCGTGGGGACAACAATGGGGCCATCCGAGGCGGCCGGCGACGTTGGTCTTGCGCTAGACGAAACCGCAGCTTTGACCAAGCATTCGCTTTTTGCATTCCTGTTGGTTGTGGCAGCCCATTTTCTGCACACAGATCTCAGACGGGTGAGGTTAGCCTTCAAATCTATGGGAGCCCAAGACCTCATTGTTTCAGGTCTTTGGGGTCCTGGAGGCCCCATTTTGGGCTCCCAGCATAGATTCTTTTCTGGGCATTTGGTCCGAATGCCTCGTCTCTCGGTTTTCGTTGGTTTTTTCATCTCTAGGACTACCGGGCGGTGAGCTCGGTGCAGCGGGAGGGGTACCTCACCTATGCCGCCACCTTGGAGGTGGTGGGCCGACAGCAGGTGGGGCTCCCCACGACCTTCGCGGAGGACTACCAGTGCATGAGGCGCGCGGCAATGCATGGGTGGTGGCTGAAGATGAAAGAGCTAGGGGCTACGCAGGTGGAAGTTTGTGGTCCCAGTGTACCAAGGTGCCAGTTTGGTCCCACTTTTTGAGCCACAGCCATATAGGAGGGGAAGAAGAGCTATAAATGACTGCTAATGCCAACAGAGGTGTGCCGTTTTATTTTTGAGGGTATCCATTCTTGATTCGTTTGAAGGGAAACTGCTTGCCTTTTCTTCAAACAAGCAATTTTTTGAAATTCCCCATTTTAAGACACACCCGGATGTCAACAAATTCCCCTGCAAATGATAGGAGGGGGGGGATGGCCCAAAAGGCGATTGGTGAATCGCCTTGCAACTGCGACAAATCCCGCTCTTCCCTTGTCATTTCAATTGCAGGTTGGGCGGCAACTCGCTAGATTGGAAGGTTGTGTTGCAGAGTCAGTTCGGAGAGGCCTTCAGGTACGGAGATTGATTCAAATCAGTCCCTCTACCGAACTTTGCGATTCAGCTCCGAGCAAACTCTGTGTGATCAGTCGCACAAATGTTTAGACTATCAACTTCTGCGACATGACAAGGGAAGAGTATCAGACTTTGGGAAGAACAAGGGATTAAAGTTTGACAAACAAGGGAATAGCAACGGAGATTATTTGAAGTTACACGGGACAACAAAGGCAACAGATTGGACGAAGGGGGGGGGGATTTTTCCCAGGGCCCGGTCGAAATATTTGCGCGGTCTCCGCCATGGACTTGGGGCCTTTTGCAGGACGTTTCTGCACATTTGTACATCCTGCAATCCGGAATTTTATGGTCTCTTCCCGCTCAGAACAGATTGATAGCTATGCTCTGTGAACAGAACCAGGTTGCTTTTTCAGGGCTTTTTGGCAAGACCTTCCCACCAGACCAAAAAGAAATCACCGTTTTGGGGTAATACTTATGAGTGAATACTATAAGGACTGTTTCAGCACGGCCTTCAACAGGGGCCGCATATTAATCTAGCACACAAAAGGCGAGAAAACGGAAAGGTGAAGGAGTCGAGGGCCGCAATTTGTTAAATCCTGACTTTCCTTTTTCTCATTCTCGAACATTTGGGGCTGGCATTTTGGGTGGTTCTTATTTACAAGACTAACACTTTGGTTGGTTTTACTCAAGTAGCGCAGTCAACAGAGCGATCCCCACAACTGGATCCTCAAAGTGGTTTTTGACTGTCAGCGATGCATGTAGCAGTGTGTCATTGCATTCGGAATCCATGCAAAACAACGCAATGTTAATTATATTTTGATGCGCTGCTTTCAGTTGTACTTTGAGGGATTCTCAAAATGACTGGGTTCTGGTGGGAACCCCCCAGAAAAACAGAGCCGCACCCACCGTTGAGCTTGGGCCATTTTGTTCGGATTCTTCTTTGCTTAAACCATTGGATTGCCATGGGCACGAGCCCCAAAAGACTAGGACCCTCGGCAGGTTGCAACATAGACTCCAAGCGTCCACCAGAGGGACCAATCAGACCGAACTATGGTCGAGAACGTGATCGTGAAATTCCCATGTGAGTTGTGATGGTTGTGATTGGAGTCGGGATTTTCGGGTGTTATGGACGAAATCTTGCCATGACCATGGGAAGAAAGAGGGTGAGGAAGTCTTCAGCTTCTTGTATTGCCCCTCCGGGTTTTTGTACGGCTGTGGGTCAAAACCAACGGTACCATTTTGGGGTAGGTGCATCGCCCATTTTGGTCTATTTTAGTGGGGCAGTGGAGATGTTCGCTGGGGGTACGATATGGATTTTTACCCATGGCCATTCAGAGGGAATCGAGAAGGACCCCACCCAGTGGTTCCTGCCCTCGACTGGAGGCAGGTGAGCTTCTTTGAGCAGCTCGCCTTCATCGTGCAGCACATCCAAACGGACGTGCCAGACGATATCTCCGAGAGCACATTTGCGGCGCGGCCGTCAACTCTCACCTTTTTGCCTTTGGCGGTCGTTGGTTTGACCATCACCGGGAAAATGTCGCCCATCAAGTCGTGTATGGGCAATTTGTTCGAGAATCCCGCGGAATCGGTCTCACGATTCCGTGGGTAATTAACACATGTTGTTCGAGAAATGGGATATGTGTGTTTCGCTCACCAGCCACAGGTGAGCTCACATAGGTGTCCTTCTTAGGTTACTTGGGCTAAAAATAGATGGCACTGGTTTAGGCGGGTTTTATCCCATTTGCCAGGGCCATCTATTTTTCCAAAAGGCCACCTATGTGAGCATGTGTCTTTAAAGCAAGGTTTCACCACCAACCTGGAAAGCCCTTCAAACTTGAGCTTGAGTCCATGTTTTTTGGGGGGTCCAACCAAAAAACCAGAGGCAGATGGCATCACACACATGGTGCTGAAGAGCGGGAAGTACTTCGACCGGCTGCTCGAGGTGGGCCTAGGCTACGACGAGGGCGACGAGGAATTCAAGGGAAGACGCGAGGAGAGGGGTGGGAGGGGGGGAGTAGGGGCGGAGGAGGGGGAGGGGGGGGAGGGGACGACCCCTTTGAATTTTGTTGCTGTTTTTTCCTGAACGAGGACGCACCAAGCTGCTGTGGATGGATGAAATCCTGCACCACCTAAGAAAGCCTGGAATGACGATTCCCCTGTAAATACCAGCAAACAGTGGTTTCCCATGGATTCAACGTGTGCAGGATTTCGTCCACCCACAGTAGTTAAAAATTGTCCTTTGTCGGAATTGGCCCGAATCGGACCGCGGGGCACGTTTCACCATCCACCCGCGCAGGAGAACGACGCGGACACCGGCGTGCTATGGCGGGTGCTGGGCTCGGTCTATGGCACCAGCCATTTGGACCACGTGCTGCGGGGCGTCTGTGGCTCGGATTCCATCTCCTCGATGAGCACTTCTGCCTTTGATGATGCAGAGGTCGGGCTTGAAAATCGGCTTGCAGCACCAAATATGCCCAATCCACGATTTATAAATGATAAAGCACAACCATCAGAAAGGGCGCCGTGCTTGTCCATGGAAATTTTGTGGAGGTCAGGGTTGTTGGTTTCCTCGTAACAAGCTCACAACCCATTCGCACATGATCTTCTTGATGATTTTTCTCAGCTGGCTGTGGGTCAAAAATAGGTAATTACCCACGATGGAACCCTGGCAAATGGAAACATGGACCAAAACCTGCGGTCTGGCTTAATTTGGACCCATACCCACCTGGAGGTGCGGCGCAGGTCCTGCATGGACATCGCCATGTGGGGCAATGCGGTGCGGCACATGGATGCCTTCCGCCGGGACACGGGCTATTTGATCCAGCCCATGGTCCAGGCCTGGGGATTCGCCGGAGCTTTCCGTCAAAAACCGGCGGCCTTCCCTGGGAAAAAGGAGGGCCAAGGGGCCGGCCAGTTGTTCCCTGGAAGGAAAAGAAGGAGGGCCAAGGGGCGGGGTCTTTGAATTGGTTTCGCTTCAAAAACCATGGCGGCTTTCCCTTTAAAGAGGCCAAGGGGGTGTCATTTGTTTCCCTTTGAAGCACTCGGGCCAGATACTGGCCGCACCCCTCCCTTTGCTTTCCCCTTTTACTGTAAAAGCCACAAAGCACCCCCGGGGGCGCCTCGACAAAGAAGAAAAGAGCATGGGCGCCGCTACCCCGGGGGGCGTCTCCACAAAAAAAAACAAAACAAATGTTCCAGCCGCAACCACGGCGCCTCGACAAGAAAGCAAAGAGCCTGGGCGCGCGTCGCAACCGCGCATCACGTGAGGCCTTATTTACCTGCCTGGTGCCCCCGAACGCCACGAGGGGTTCCGCCGTGAAGGAGGCCATGCTGCACGCCATGGACGTGTGGGCGGACGCCGTGCCGCCCTTGGCCGCGCGGCAAGCGGTGGGTGGGTGGGTGCTGTGGATGGAGGAAATCCATGTGGCTGTGGGTCAAAATTAAACCACCAGGAATTGGACCACTGGTTTTAGTCATTGTTTCCATTTACCAGGGTTCTATTTTGGGTTCCTATGTTTGACCCAGCCATGTCGCACCTAAAAGACCCTGGAAGGAATGGGTTGGTGATTTTGTCCATCCACAGTAGACCATGCTTAAAAGATGGCGAAAAAGGGTTAGGAGGGATGGTCATCCGCCGGGTGGGATCCTCAAGAACCGAAGGATTGTCCGATTCGGGGTGCACTTTTGGACTACAAGGAAGACATAAGCCCAGAAATGAACCAGCGCCGGGTTTCAGTCGACCTTGGGGTAGTCAAAAGTGGCGCCCTGCTCCTATTACACCCTGGGCAACGTGGGTGGTGGGTTGTAGGCCATGATCAAAGGACAGCTTGAAGGGCTAAGAGGGACGGTCCAGCGGTGGGATCCTCAACAACCAGTTTGGTTCCGAGCGAACCATAGGCAGGCCATAGTCACAAACCTGCGTCCCAACCCAAGCCATGGCCCCTTTTTCGAAGAAAGACGCGCGTTCGAGGAGATCTCCTTTGTGGACACAGAGTACGGCAGGTGGGTCATGTGGCTGGGCGCGAGCCTAGCTTTGGCCCACCTGGGGAACCAGATACGCCTGCGGCGCAAGAACGCTGCGCCGAACCGGGCGGCTAAGTCTTTATTGCCCCGGCGCGGATGAGGGGAGGGCGCCAGTGGAAGGCTCGCAGAGTTCATGACTGTAGTCAGTTGTTTTCGCCGGAAAGGCGCCTGACGTGGTGTCAAAAAGGGCGGGAACGTTTCGGTTGCTTGTGGCAAGCAAAGGAGGCTTCGGGACTCTGAGTGCTCTCGCGTGCTTATTTTCTTCTCTCGAAACTGTGGGCCCTTCTGGACTTCCTTCACCCGCCGGTTCGAGTGGCGTGCCCCGCTGTTGTGAAGACAGGCGCAGAACACGGCGTCTTAGTCTTCTGGGCGGGCGCGATAGGCTGCCGTATGGCGAAAGGCGCCCAATTGGGAATGTGCCGAAATTGGAAAAACCGGTTTGTCAGGGGACCCATTTCAACGACCCATTTAGGGTCACCAAAATAAGTTGTCCCACACCTTTGGCAGCTTCCGGGCAGATTCCCGATGTTTTTAACGGCCAAAGAGCCGCGTGTTTGGGTGTGGGGCTCAAGTCTTTGCCAAGTCGGCCCAGGCCTTCTTCTATGTGCTAGCATGAGCTGAGAGCGCGATTTGCCAAGAGTTCCTCCCTCATGAAATCTTGCTTTTGGATCTTTGTCATGTTTTTCCCAGAACATGTTGAAAGCTGGCATCGGAGTCTAACCGGAGACTTGAACAGTTGTAAGTTGAAGCTAAGGGCTCATCGCAGCCTCCACCCGAGCGAATGGGAACAGTCGCGCGTTAAAAGATCGCGGGCTGGCTACGATGGATGCCTTGATTGCAAGCGATCCACCCCAAACAAAAGCCACAAAGCTCTGGAACAGAATGGTTGTGGCGCAAACAATGGTACCCAAAATGGCAGCTTGGCAAATGGAAACAAAGACTAAATCCTGCGTATCCCTAGATCTTTCGTTTTTTCAGCACACCGGCATGGTCATTGACAGAGCTCCTCTTGCAACATTGACATCTACCGCCCGACGAGCACATGGGCTGGGATCAGTCTTTCTCGAAAAAGCTGGGTGGAGCCTTCGCAATTTTGAGAACCCATGCTGCTACTTGCATCAGGCAGGCTAGGAGGACATGGGGACTCCGGATCAATGCAAGCAGAGTGAATGATCAGAGACAGACCAAACAGAATTTCCGAGTGTGTAAGGCGGTTTGCGGTTTGTGGCCAGTTGGCATCCTGGTGGAGTATAGGGGTTGCTCAGAATTGAGGGTTCGCGACCGCAAGCAAAGGGGAATGCTCCAAGGTCCCGGCAGATTTGTTTCAGCCTTTGCACTGGAGCTCTTTAATAGCCAACGAAGTTGCAAGGGACTGTGATCTCGAGATTTCCCTCTAGCTTGTCATGGTTCCCGACCCTAGACCTAGTGGGTAAATTGGTCTCACCTGCTAATCGAGGCCCCTTACTCGACACTCACCTGATTTCAGGTAGTGCTGATTTCCAGGAACCCCCCCAGTCGCGGCAGTGATTGTTCCATCAAGCCGTTGTCAACTTGATGGTGGCAAAGAGAACGCATGAAAAAGCAACCATCGGGCTCGAGCAGACTATACAGAAGATCCCACACTCCGCGACCTTACCGTTTTGATCCACACTGGGCTTCTCATCAGTTTCTTATTTCCAGGGAACGGGTCTTTCTGCATGTTTCTTGTTTGGGGCAACTGACTATTTGTTTGTCCGCCGCCTGTGCCGAATAAACACAAAGACACCCCTTTGTTGCAAAGGTGATAAGCAAACTGTTAAGACGCCACACAGTGAACCCCAGAGCTTGGACGACTTCAAGTCGATTTTCCGCTTCCAATGGCCTGCCTTGATGGCTTGGTCGTCGCGCGCGTAGTCGTGCAGGCCTCAGCTTTGCGAGCTGAGGAAACTGAGACCTCCGGCACAGAGACCCCATGTCTGCGCACGAAGGCTGGCTTGCCTGTACAGATCAACATGGCACCCAATTGAAAAGGCGAGGTTTTTGGCAGGGCTCCTGAAAAGATACTTTTTGCCCATTTGAGACATGACTTTTTCCACCAAAATAATGGGGAACCTCCATTTGCAATTCAGGTGTGTAGTGTAAGGATCCCTGTTTGGGTCCATGTCAACCAGCAAGTTGGTTTTGCTTGGGCACTGGCGTGAGAAGCACATAGCAGCAGTTGGGTCAGCAAGCTGAGGTGCTCAGGGCTCTCGCAGGCCGGCTCTGGGGGTCAATTTGGGCGGTTTCCGTTGGGCCTCCCTTTCAACACAAAAGGGGAGCAACTCAACATTTCAGACACACCCGCGTTGGGTCAGTCCGAGTCATAAAGTCATGGCTGGTTTTGGCGGCCCTTCTGATTCTTGTGTTGCGGGCGTGGACTAGTGTTGGGTATGAGTCAATTGACATGTGCTTGCGTCTTGAGTTCAGGATCAATCCTTTGAACATAGGCTTCTGAAACCAGCCATTGTCCGTACCATAATGCCTTTTTCGCAGGGAGGGAAGCAGAATCTTGACAGCTCTAAACCTATCCAATCCTGGAAGGAAGGCCTGATAGCTGAGGGGATGATCCAAATCATCCTGGGTTCCCCCGGCGGCGGTAGTACAACTTTGGCCAAGACAAAACGGCTGCTCTGGATCTGACTTTAGTCAGTGGAACATGTTTTCAATCCACTGTCAAGAGATACCCCATTTGCCAGTGCGGTTCGCTGTAGGAAGCTCCCACAAATAGCTCGTTGAGAGGCTCGCTCTCAAGCATGTATAAGAAACTAACCAAACCTATTGAGGAAGGAGACCAACTGCTGAATCTTTGGCATCCACTGGAGCCAACACATCGAACCTTTGGACAGCTAAACGGGTGAGGCTTTCTGAGTCCCATGCTTGCATTGGCCAGGAAAACTGCAGTCTTTCGAAATCAATGGTGAAAAGATCCCAGGCTGCGACCTCTCATGGACACCTGTCCCTTTCCATGGACGGAGTGGTCCACATTGTCAGACGAGGCTGGGATCAAGCGCCTGCCAGCGGCGGGCCGGGGCAAGCCGAGTCTTGAGGAAGACCACGCCTGAGGCATCGGTGGTGATCAGGGTGGATTTAGCGTAGGGTGGTGGTGGAAAGCAGGCAGTCATAGGAGTCAACGCGTCGGATGATCGAGTGCTGTGCTGGCATCCCTTCAGACAGCTGGGCGGCAGGTGATGGGTGATGCCAATCGTGATGGGCGTGGGGTCTCGGGGAACTTGGCGTCGAAGCTCAGAACCCGGCTGTTGGGTCTGCAGCGACAATCACCTGGCTACGTTAATGCCCCTGAAAGCGCATCGTATTAGAGTCACCGCTTGGAGGAGTTGGGTGGAACGGAGGATCAGGTGGGTGATGCCAATCATGATGGGAGTGCTCCCAGGCGCTCGCGA